GTAACACCGTGTTCTTTTTTTCTTTTTCTTCTTCTTCTTTTTAGATGCTACTATAGTTCTCCTTTAGGTGAATTTTTAAGAATTTTTAAGGTGGGATCTACATATTTGCTGAAAATTGAAAGTGATTGATGTTGTAATAGAAAGGTTAGGTTTCTCCATTGTGGTCTACCTTAAAATTTTGAAACTAAAGGGAATACAATCATACAGACTTTCTCAACCCACTTTTTTCTCATAATTTTCAAATTATTTTGCTTTTGTTAATGGCTTTATATGATACAAGGATATGGTGAAAATATGCGGTGTATGATTTCCTCTTATCTTGCTTCTAAGCTCTGGGACAAAATCGGATGCATTTTTGTGTGTCTTCACATCACTAATAAAATATTTTTATATTACCTACGCAACAACTTTGTTACATCCTTGTTTTGCAATACCGTTAATCATAGCATGGTTAATTATGTCACCATTGTCTCTAAAATTTATGTTGTTGTTGTTGTTTTTAAATTTTTTTTTTTTAATTTAAAAATCCCTTCATTTTTATAGGTTTTTGATATTGTTCATTTTTTAAAAAAATATTAGGGATTGATCCTTTCGTAGAATCCTCTGTTGATCGAAGTACCATCCACGAACAATGTCGAAAATAGAGGTTTATTATTATTATTATTTTATAATATTTCAAAACTAATCAAATTACTTAAACAACCCTAGCTAGTCACGCTATTTCTTCGCTTTCTGTTTCCACCTATTTCTTCGCTTTCTGTTTCCACTGCTTTTGGCTCATTAGCATGTAACAAGGAGGAAATTTTTCCGGTGATGTGGATGAAAATCTGATTCGGTTGCCAAAAAAAAAAAAAAAAAGGTTGGTACCTTTGAGTGAAAACTCTAATTATCTTTAAAAATGTTTCTTCCAACAAAATCTTTGTCCCATCACAAAACAAACACCAAACCTTTAAAAGAGTTTTTCAACTATGCAATATCTCCATAACGTAAATCTACTTTTAATTTTCAGTATAATGAAATAATTATGAATTGACATGAAGCTGTTGTGTGCTTATATCAGCTTGCCCTCTTTTGTTTCTTGAATAGAATTTGATCATCGCACTGCAGTCAGTTTCTCATTTCAAATACAGGAAGTAAATTACTCTGTTTTTCCTCTGATGAGTCAATACGAGTCTACTTGCTTCGACATTGATAGTTGTTGACCTGGTTCAGTTTTGTCTTGGTTGAATCAACACATGAATTACAGAGTTATGTTTAGTTTGGAAACTATGATTACCTACTGAGACAGCAATATACCATGGTTGTTAGTGTTAAAATATGATATGTTTATATATATGATGTCCTTTGTCCTTCTTTAATGTCTCGTCACCATAGTTGTTAGTGTTAAAATATCACCATCGCTATTATTGCGTTATATATACCCTAATCTTTTAAGTCCTTTGATTAATATAAAGCAATCCAATGGAGGAACTTTACTAAAGCACAGAAACAAATTCTTCTCATTCATGATTTCATCAAGTTAGTAGACTTATCTTACTTCAAAAAGAATTGAACGCCTTAAAGATAAGAATGCAGCTAGAAAATAAAAAATAAAAAGTTAAAAATGGCCTGTTGATTTATTATTTATTTAATTAACTGCTACTATAGATCATGCCTTGAGCACAATTTATTTAATTAACTGCTACTGTAAATCATGCGTTGAGCACAACTCCAGCATAAGGAAATAAACAAGTGAATTTAGTGTCACAATGACTGTTTCATGTTTAGTAGTTTACCCAACATAGATTCTGATTTGGTTCACACTCATTTGAACCATCATTAATATATATTCGTGTAATATTTCTACCCCTTATTTAAAAAAATATGTTAATAATTCTGTTATTTTTTTTAACAATGTACGAAAATGCCCCTCAAACAAAAAATTGACATAAAGTAATGTTGTAATGCCCGTTTTACCATTTTATGCTTCCAAAAATGTCCAAGAATGTGTCTGCTAATAATCTCATAATATAGAGATGTTATCTGCACATTTAACCCTTTTAAAAAAAATTTCTCACCTCTCTAAAAAAATCATTTTCTTAGTTGAGAGTTATACATTTTCTAAGACTAGTCAGTCATAACTTAGAAAGTCTTATAAAGTTTTAATATATGTATTTCTTTTACTAATCAAAGGGAGATAAAAAAAAATATATTTGTTCTCACAATTATGAAGAGTATATCACATTGAATGAAAACCTCAGTTGTTTTTATAATTATAAAAAGAAAAAAAATTATTCCCAATTAAAATTTAATATAGTTATCATTTTTTTTATTAAATATATAATTAAAATAAAAATACGTATTTGTTATATATATATAATTCCTTACATAGTAAAAAATGGGTGTTAGAATTCAAAACAATAATATTTTTTAGGATAAAGTTCAAAAAACACCCTTATATGCTTAGGGTGCGTATTACACCCCTCATGTACTAAACTACATTATTTTTATTATGTTCATTTTTGTCATTTCACAAAATATTTATTTTTGAATAGTATGTAAAATGTGTATATATGTGCAAGTTAGACAAATGTTACCTTAAATGTGTTTTGCACAAATTGAAATTTTAGGAATATTTTTCGTACATGAAAGTGTAATACGCAGTACAAGCATGCTATATGGTAATTTCTGCACTCGACATTTAATACTACTCTACATTTTTATCTTACTTACTTTTCACGCTAAATTAGCAAAACCCTTTCAAAATGGCCTCTCTCTTTAAAGCTTAATCCATTCCTTTTCCTCTCCTCGCAATTCGCAATATTGAAAAAGAGGAGAAAGTAAGAAGCAAAAGCTCAACAAAAGAGAGTGGATTGTAAGCTTTTGGGAGAAGCAGACTTTTTGCTGGAATAATTTCTCTTGATTAACGCTTTCTATTTGTCTTTAAATTACCAGGATTCGAATAATTTATTACATTATTAGCATTTACAATCCTCCTTCTGTTTACATAATGTGAGCAAGTGAGAATGAAAAATAATCTCTCTTATGTACATACCTATTATATAATGTGAGAAAATGACATTGGTACCTAAGTGGGCATGTGATAGATTGAAGTGACAATGGTACCTAAGTGGGCATGTGATAGATTGACCTCCTTGAGAAGGAAATGTGAGTTCTATTCTGTAATGTGAGTGTAGTTGTAGTGGTATGGTTGGTAGTCCACTTGGAATGTGTCAGGATAATTAATTTACATATTATTATGTGAATCAAAGCTCCAAGCTTCCCCTCTTTTTCTTAATAGTTTTAGATGGTAATGGCATTTCTTTAAGTTAAATCTTTAAAGCCAATTGCTGCATGGGCTGTCAACCACGACTACTGTCCCATTACAAAGGTACACCACCCCTTGTTTGAGTCATGCTGATATATGGCTGATATAAGAAATTTTTATCTTTTAAAGTTACAATGTTCTTTCGACTAAAAAGGGGGGTATTTGTAGACAATTTATACATTTACAAATTATACACCGAATTAATTACCTAAGGACCACATTCGGATGTTCCCCCTTTTTTTTTTTAATAAGCTGTTTATAAATTATAGAAAAATGATATATAATTTGACTCTTTCAAATAAGAGTGAACTATATTAAACCTTCTTTTTCTATTTGCGTTTTGCACTAAATTTTTCTTTTTTATATTTTTGTCAAAAAAATTTCCTCAACTAACTATAGGGTGATTTAACTAACTGAGAGAAGTGCGCTAAAAGAGAGTTGTTGGACATTGAGTTTTTTCATATATTTTTGAAATAAAAAATGTTCATGTATCTATTTTAATATACCCCACATGTATATTTACTCCATCATCACTCTTAGCACCATATCCTCCGCCATCGGAGCAACACGTACCCTTTTTCTTCCTCAAACTTATTTTATTTAGCCATCATATATATAATAATAATAATAATAATAATAATATGTAACATTAAATATTATTTATACTATATTTGCATTTTCATCAAACCTTTAGACCGATATAAATTAGGGGTTTTTCATGAAATTTATCTGCTATATATATATATATATATATATATTGAAAATTATATTGTGTATTCATTTCTTCTCCTAATTTTAAAGGGACACTTGAAAAATAATGCCCTGAGTTTATATATATATAAGTTGGGATATATAGACATCTGCTCAAGTTCACATTAGTCACATATATATATATTTGAAAATAAATATTTTCTATAAAACTATCTATAACTAATATGTGACTAATGTGAACTTGAGCAGATGTCTATATATCCCAATGAATTAGTGCCTATGAAATTTGGAGTGACAATCTTCAACTCTCTTTATCTACTAATTTAAAAAATAATAAAAATGTTAATGTTTAAATTATTTAATAATAAAAAATTCAAGACACACACATAAAAGTAGATTTTCAAATATATTTAAGTCAAATTTCCTTTCAGCGAACTTTTGTTTGCTGAGTGACCCCTTTGAATAGTTAATGATTAATGAGAGTTTTTATTGATAAAAAAAAAAAAAATTAAGCAAAAAGCAAATAGAAAATGAAGTTTTAACGTAGTTCAACCTAAAAATAATTACAATTGTCCGCATCATAACTGTGAAATTAATAATGACCCATGAAAATCAACCGATAATACTTTCCAAGAAAAAACTTTTTCTTTCGTTTTTTTTTTTTTTTTTTTAATTTTAATTTTATATTTTAATAAGTGTGAGTTGCATAGCAGATGCAGTTAGCATCTCACCGTCCTTTTGGTGAAGAGACGTCCGTTACATTTGTTCACGATTGGCTGTTGATCTGAGCCAGCGAGTACGCATTCAATAATCAACACTACGAGTACAGTACTACTGGGTTCACGCAAAGAAGAAAGCAACAACTTTCATGTCAGACACAGAAAGAGACTGAAAAAGAAAAGAACCTCCACAAGCTGCCAAAATCTCAGACACCCTTTCCCTGTCAAACACTCGTACCATCCCATCTTTATTCTCCATTCCAGTCCCCCTCTCTCTCTAGTGTCACTGTATCAACTAACTTTTGTCTCTCAATCATTCTAGAGAGAGAAACTATTCTCCTTCCGATCTTTGGATTCAGAACATAATACTACTGTTATTGTCTTTGAATCTCCTCCTTTTTCTTTTCTTTTTTTTTTTTTTTTTTGTTGCTTAAAACATCTAAACGTAAAACGAATTCTCCAAAGCTTCTTTAGATTTTCCTTTTTCACTAGAGAAAAGTAGATTCAAAGGCCTCCTCTTTTCCTCTTTCCAATTTCCAAGTAATTTCTCTCCACTTTTCCCCTTTTATTTCTACCCAATGCCTTTACATTAGAATCAATCACATCTTTATGTATGTGTGCGTCTATATATATTTACATTATCATCTAATTTCAAATTGAGTTCATTTCGACAGTTTTTATTTTCTCCTGATTTCGAAGGCAATGGAGAAATTTGCTGTTTGTCCAATAATTTTCTTCATTGTATTCTCACAATTTCATCAATCTCTCGCCGGTTTACTTTCCGAACCTGCGCAACCATTAAATCCCGGCGATTTCTCGACGCCGAACATAGTCCCGGCGTTTCCGGTTCAAACTGAGACACAATTGTGCCGACTCGACCTGTCCGCGGAGCTCTTCGGCGGAGTGAACGACGCGTGTGGCCGGAACCTCGACCGCAGCCGGTGCTGCCCGGTGCTGGCGGCGTGGCTCTTCGCCGCACACGCTCGCTCCGCCCTAAAGGTTCAGGCGGAGGCACCGTCGGCGTTCTCCGAGCTGCCAATGGTGCCGGACGACTCGCAGAAGTGCGTCAACTCGCTGCAGAGCTCTTTACAGAGCCGAAACATTCACATTCCGAGGCCTAACGCTACGTGCGATGCGGTGCTCTGTTTCTGTGGCATTCGACTTCATCAGATCAGCTCGCTGAGTTGTCCTGCCGCGTTTAACACTTCAGACCATCGGAATGTTACTCCGACCGCTGTTGTTAGGGATTTGGAACGTAACTGCCGGAATTCATCGTACGCCGGTTGCACCAGGTGCCTCGGAGCTCTACAGAAGGTTAGTATTCCGATCAAGCTCTTGATAATCTCCTAAAATTGATATGAACTATTAAATTTCCATTCTAAAATTTTAATTCAATGATTAATTTTTCAAAAAAAAAAAAAAAATGAAAACAAAATAATACTACTAAATAAGAAAAACTATGATATAAAAGAATGTTCTCTCACTAAGATCTAATTTGTCTTAAATTTATTGAGGGTGCACTGACTATCATCACATCCTTCCATCTTTACTGAAACTGTTGGACTAATAAAATTTACTGCCAAAGCGCCCCAATGTTGGCTTTCATTTTTATAAAATGCGATTCAAATTTCATTCAAGATCATTGCAGGTGCAAAATTTCGCTCAACCAATAATGACTGAGAAAAATAAAACAATTCACTCAAAAAATAATAAAAATAAATAAGAACAGTGTATAGAGGAACGTAGAATTACTTGATCCTTTTATTAGAGGTCTAGGCCCTCTTTATACATAAAAATTGATAGAATTAAGGTAGGACTCGCATTGCTTGTCCTCCAATTCTTCCCATACACGACTTTCTTTACAAATAGAGTTCTTTTTATTGTATAATATTTCTTACGCAGAACTTGCCTTGTATAGAACTTCCTATCAAAGAATTTTCCTTTTATGGTAAATCATTCTACCGATAGGACTTGTTCAATCTTGGAAAACTGGGCTGAATATACCTTAAACCAATTAGGCTTGAATAACAGGCCGGATGTTTAATATTAACATGTTGGGCTGATAATATCTTGATTCGGGCTTCAACAGGGTTGAAGGTCAAATAACAATAGTATTGGGCTTATGAACAATGATCTTGGACTAGTATCAAACTCAATTTGGGTTTGAGCGAGGCGGGCTTCATAAACTTATCAATAATATGTTTATATTTATGATGACGTGGATTATTTTCATTGGAGGGGATTTTTTCCCTCCACACTTTGACCCCAATTCCTTTTTTAATTGGAGTACTACTCCTAATAAGAAGGGAATTGAAGCGGTACGATTACCAATTTCGTAAGAAGTGGATTTGAGGCGTGACTACTAATATTCTGACCAAAGGGTTTCCATAAGAGTTACTTCCGCTCTTACTGCGTTCATTTCATTCCTTGCATTCTTCACTTCGTCACATCACCAGGTTAAAGCATTTGTCATGGCAGAGACTGGAGCACCTTGGAAGCCATTTTTATCTAGAGCTGATAAATCAGTTCTTCACTCTGGTAATTCTATGATTACCGACCCCTCTGTAGCACTAGCAGTTGCTTGGGGAATGTAATATGGAGTTGGAACAACTGCCTCCATCTGCCCCTGTTCGAGCCATTGAGGTTCGCCATTCTCCATTTATTTTTGTCTTCTCTCCATCAAGAAGTTGGAGAAAGATCTTGGCAATTCTGAAAAGAAGGTCTCGTATGTAGCCATGAATGCAAAGATCGCATCTGAAACGAGAGATGTTTATAAGATAAGAAGCGTTTGGTCGTGTCTGAAGCTAAGGTGGAGACACTGGAAGCTGAGGTCCAGCATTTGAAAGATGCAATTGGCACCCGTGTTACTGCTGGGAAATAGATGCAAGGCTGTTACTCTACCTTGGTGCGCTTGTCCAGGGCAAAAGCCTTTCGGTTTGGCTTTAGACAAGGTTCGGGAGACAAGTTAAAGGATTCGGAGGCCTTTAATGCTGACATGGAAGTGTCCTTTTCTTATTCTGAGGGTCCATAAGCCCAAGAAGCTAAAGTGCTTTTTGCTGAAATGGTGAAGTCTCATCAGGATGATCATCCAGCTTCAACTTCATCAGTTCCTGCAGCTCCCAACCCTTCGATTCCTCCAACTCCAAGTCCAACTGTGGTGGACGCTTTTGACTCTGCTTCGTTATGGGAATTTATGACTGCCCTTACATTGCATACACTTTGCTGCACAGTAATGTCCTCGTGTTTCTGAAGAAAATACACTTGTTTGAGGACCTCGTATTTTTTGTGGTCCGAAGTGTACAGTTCCTCGGCGCCGAGCTTGAGAGGAAATGTACTGAGCCGGACACTTAGGGTCCGAAGCAAAGTATTCCTTGGCGCTGAGCCTTTGAGAAAATCTGCTGAACCGGACGCTTAGGGTCAGAAGAGATTTGGTCCTCGGCGTTGAGCCTTAAAGGAAACGTGCTGAACCGGACACTTAGGGTTCGAAGCGAAGTATTCTTCGGTGCTGAGCCTTAAAGGAAATATGCTGAACCGGACACTTAGGGTCCGAAGCGAATTATTCCTCGGCGCTGAGCCATAGAGGAACTGTAATGTAACGGACTCTGGAGAGCCAAGGCATGTAGTTCCACGGCGATGAGCCTGAGGGAAACTATATTGTAATGGACTCTGGAGAGCCGAGGCATGTAGTTCCACAGCGATGAGCCTGAGGGAAACTGTATTGTAATGGACTCTAGAGGTCCGAGGTATGTAATTCCTCAGCGATGAGCCTGAGAGGAACTGTAATGTACCGGACTCTCGAAGTCTGAGGTATGTAGTTCCTCGGTTATGAGCCTGAGAGGAACTGTAATGTACCGGACTCTCGAAGTCTGAGGTATGTAGTTCCTCGACTATGAGCCTGAGAGGAACTGTATTGTATCAGACTCTGGAGATCCGAGGCATGTAATTCCTCGGCGATGTAGATAATTTTCATGTAATTATACGCATCGGCACTCTTTATGCTTTGGAGGAGTTTACATGAAAATTTAACCTTCGACGTATTTGAGTTCGAGGGAATTTTCATGTAATTTTTAATCGGCATTGTTTTGTACCGTAGAGATTTTTTTTTCAAGAAAATTTAACCTTAGACGTATTTAAGGTAATTTTCATGAAATTTTATTCCTCGTTGCAGCTCATTATGCGTTAGAGGAATTTTGAAGTCCTTGGACTCTTGAAGATGAATTTTATTTCTCGACAGCTGTGTGTGCTTAGAGGAAGTTTGAAATTTGCGAACTCTTGAGATCCGAAGATAAATTTTATTCCTTAGAGGAATTTTGAAATCTGCGGACTCTTGAGGTCCGAAGATAAATTTTATTCCTCGACAGCTCTGTGTGTCTTAGAGGAATTTTGAAATCTGCGGACTCTTGAGGTCCGAAGATGAATTTTATTCCTTAGAGGAATTTTGAAACCTGCGGACTCTTGAGGTCCAAAGATAAATTTTATTCCTCGGCAGCTCTGTGTGCCTTAGAGGAAGTTTGAAATCTGTAGACTCTTGAGGTCCGAAGATAAATTTTATTCCTCGGAATCTCTGTGTGCCTTAGAGGAATTTTGAAATCTGCAGACTCTTGAGGTCCGAAGATGAATTTTATTCCTCGACAACTTTGTGTACCTTAGAGAAAATTTGAAGTCTTCGGACTCTTGAGGTCCGAAGATGAATTTTCTTTCTCGGCAGCTCGTTGTGCCTTAGAGGAAATTTAGAGTCTTCGGACTCTTGAGGTCCGAAGATGAGTTGTCTTCCTCGGCAACTCGTTGTGCCTTTAGAGGAATTTGAAGTCTTTGGACTCTTGAGGTCCGAAGATGAATTTTTTGTGGTTAGGCTTGCCCCCGCTTTTTGGCGCTCTGACGCCACATATAGTATAATTGTATAGTTGAACTATTTGTCACTTCACTGGGGGATTGATCTTTATTGCAATGCGAATAAATCAAACCCAAATATTAAGCAACCTACGAACACAGAGCAAATACAAAGTTATTCGTAAGCAAAGTTATCAGAAGCATGCAAAATAATTACATGTAGCATATAGCAACTGATTGATGGAAAGTAAGCATTTTAAGAACTTTTTATGTATCACAATTGAATTTGTAACTAGAAATTCTAATTAGCAACAAGTATTTACTCGCTCTTGTTTTTGAAATTACTCAATGTATGTAATATTTTATGGCTTCAAGTAATAGACCAACTAGCACAACTCGTGCATTCAACAATGCCTCTGGCCTCGGATCTTTATTCAATTGTAAATTTCAGAAGTCAATGTAGAGGGTCAAAATCTTCTTTTAGTTGAGTAGTGATGAAGTTGTGCATCCATCTGAAGAGTCTAAACCAACAATATCAAGTGATGTGGTCCTAAGGCTTTGATAAATTATCAACCTTCAGTGAACAACTAATGGATATAATCTAAAAATTTTCTCAAAGTGTGAGCAAAACAACTAGTGAATATAACTAAAATTACAATGCTGAAAATCCTTGATGAGGGAGAGAGGGATGAATCCATAGAGGATTATAATCGAAGAAAGAGAGACTAAAGAATTTGTTGAGTGTTAGAAGTTCAGGTGGCCTCTTTTTTATATTTTTACTCAATAGAGTATACTGAATAAGCAATTGGGTTCAAACTAAGTCATAAATATTTATGTATAATGAGTGTCTACATGAATAACAAAATATGATTGCATCATATGTAAATATATATATAATACTGATATATTTAATATGTATTTAATTTTTAATTAAGATTTTTAAAAGCTTAACCTTAACTGTAAAAATTAAAGTTGGGAAACTTATCTGATTAAAGAGATTCGCGTCTGATAAGGCCTGGGATGTTTGAAATGCCCGGCTGATGGGTCTGCTGAATTTTGTGGCGTTGAGCGGTAACCCATTTTTAAGAATTTTTTGAAAGCCTTTGTTTTGCCGTCAACCTTGAAAAAATGAATGTTGGGAAGAACTTTACCGACCTAAGAGCCTGACTCCTTTTGGTTTTTGGAAGACAAAGCTATTATTTGTCGTTTGTTCCACGTGCGTTCCAATAAGCATACTCAAGCTTTGAATGCTCCAAAATGAGTCCCCAATTCGAATTGGCAATAAAATTATTTTTTTATAGAACTGGGTTACCATAGAACCGGTTCTCAAGTGAGATTGCAAAGCGGGTTTAGTTCTGGACTAATCCAAAACAAGGACAGCTTTACTCTTACAGCCAAACAATGGCTATTAGGCTACATATATATATATATATGTATATATATATATATATACATATATATATAAGTATCCATTAACACATGAGGCGAGCAATGAGAAGTTCGGATGTGGTTGCATCAAACTGCGCTCGGTTCAGATGTGGGCAGTTCGCGGCAGATCAGATGAGATCGACGGCGAGCATGAGCCTGATGGCGGTGCAGCAACGGCGACTCGGTTGAACTCGGCCGGTAAGAAGGACGATGACGTGCAGCGGCTGTGGCTGGGCTTAATGGTAACTAGCTTGGATGGATTCTGTTTCGGTCATGAGGACGGCGAACTTCAGCTGAACTCGCGGTGGGCTTGATGTGCAGCCGGTGATGGGTGAAGATATACAACATTATACGAAAATTGATCATCGATGAAGGCATATATTGGCTTGGAGTTGAAAAATTGAGTTCGTCGTAGGTTCACAAGACGGATTGGAATTTGCAGGAGATGAAGATCAAGAATTGGTTGAATACTGTGAATATTACAGTGAAGATGTTGTTCATCGTAGAGAGAATTCTCTGTGATCATGTCTTTGATCGCATCGTCAGAGTCGATCAGAGAGCCCTTTCAACCTCCAATCACTAATCACAGATCGACTCAATCTTCACATTCAAATCAACGTCCGTAGTCCGAGCACAATGTGTCATAAAATCAAAAGACACCTCATATATGCAAGTCAATGCAGTCTTTTTGGGGGTGCTGAGCATTGCAAACCATTCTATTTAACCATGATGATACTGAAGGTCCACTCAAAATTTTGTAAAGAGTCAGATTGCAGAGTGCCGATTTGCAGGCCTTTGAAGAGTGAATTGAAGAGTGTATTAGAAAACTTTAATATCAGTCTAAAATTCTGTGAAGGGATGCTACGACTGGTCGGGAAGCACCCAAGTTACTGAACCAGTTGATTGTCCAAGTGTATAGTTATTGATGGATTATCAACGATAGCAGTCTCTTATACTGATCAATAAAATTCAATATAGCATTGAATATATACTGACTTATTTCTTTTGACGATTGTATAGGTTGGACTTGTAGTGAGTTCATTCAAATGGTGATTCATATAAATAAAAGGATGCTTATTGATTATTATTCATGAATAAAAAATAAATCAGATTTTCCAGTAGATTTCATCAGTAATTCTTTCCCAATATCTGAGATCTTGATATACTGGTCCACCCAAAACTCTCTATTCATGTGATGTAATACTCAAATAATAATACGCCATCAGCAAAGCAAGACTAATTAATCACTTCTAGCTAGTGCTTATATAATAATTATGCATGTTGGATTTGTTGATCAAGAACATATATATATAAATATTAACACGAAATCAAGATCAGAACACTTATCTGATTAATTTATGGCTTGGCTTTTTTAGCTCAGATGTACATTTGATTACTAGGGCAAACACGCGTGATGCCTCTTGGGTTTTCCATTCATCAGTCTTGTTACGAATTATTGTCCAAAAGCCGAATGTTGATGGAAAGAACCATGTGGGAGGTTCGGATGTTGGACTTTGGTCGGCTTGCTACGTGGAGACCTTCGGTCATGAGAGTTGTTGTAGAGGACTTGGGTTCAAATCCTAGACTTGAAGATTTTAATTTCAAGTCATATTGCTGGATTGGGTAATTTTAATTTGAAGTGTTGTAACTTTGGTGGGGATATAGTTCTTTCTATTGTATATTATTTCCTACGCAGAACTTGCCTTGTATAGAACTTCCCATCAATGAATTCTCCTTTTATGGTAAATCATTCTACCAAAAGGACTTGTTCAATCTTGGAAAACTGGGCTGAATATACCTTGAACCAGTTAGGCTTGAATAACGGGCCGGATTTTTAATATTAACATGTTGGGCTGATAATCTCTTGATTTGGGCTTCAACAGGGCTGAAGGTCAAATAACAATAGTATTGGGCTTATGAACAATGATCTTGGACTAGTATCAAACTCAATTTGGGTTTGAGCGAGGTAGGCTTCATAAACTTCTCAAGGATATGTTTATATTTATGATGACGTGAATTATTCTTATTGGAGGGGATTTTTTCCCTTCACAACCATGTTGTTCATATATCCCTTCCATCCAAGGCTGCAACTGGAACAGGTTGAATGAGTTTGAGGTATAACTTGAGATTAATCCATCATATGAAATGTTAAACCCAATTTCAAGCCTAACTCTATTCTCAACCTTAACTACTCAACCCAAGTCCAACCCATCTTTCTACTTTTAGATTCGGACTTGCAACTCGGCCATAGATTTCGGATAAAAATTTCGGGTTAATTCGAGTTACTTATATGGCTAATCCTTACACCAAAAATTTAATATGATCTTAAATTAGTTTTAGATTAAATTACTCTTAAATAAGAAAAAGTTTTAAGACTTTTTGTAAATTTTTAATAAATTGCAAACAAATTTTTAAAAAATTAATTCTCTTAAATGTTAACATACAATAAGTTAAGATTTAACAAAATAAGTTGAAAAAAAAAAAATCAAAGTTTAAATATTATATATAATGTATTTAAAATTAAAAAAATATATATAAAAAAAAAAATTAGAATTCGGGTTCGGATTAGTTCGGGTTGCTAGCACTTCAACCCAAGCCCAATCCTAATTAAATTCCGATTAAACTTTTTCAATCCAAGCCCAACTCTAATTATAAAAATGATTGTCTAAATTCGTAAAAAATCGAGTTGAGCTCGAATTAAGTTCAGATTACCTAACCCAAATTGCACCCTACTTCCACACCATCCAAATGTGGTTTTAAACAATGCATTTTCAGTTCTAATTCCACTTCATCTTCATAATTGTGGGGGCATGGCAGTAATTTAGTATGGTTTGTACTATAACCTAACCCAAATTGCACCCTAATTCCACACCATCCAAATGTGGTTTTAAACAATGCATTTTCAGTTCTAATTCCACTTCATATTCATAATTGTGGGGGCATGGCAGTAATTTAGTATGGTTTGTACTATAATTTTGTATGGTCCAGAATGTTCTATAAAGTGTTACTCCGTTTAAATATTTCTATTTGGCATAAATTAATTCTGAATAGGTTAACATAATATGTGGCCTTGTACTGCATGTTGGTTGAAAATTAATTACAGCTGAAGGGTGAGGGTAACAGAAGCGGGCGGGCGAGCGAGATGCTGATTAAGGACTGCCAACTGATGGGGCTGACGTGGCTGCTCGCGCGAAACAAGACGGCATACATTCCCACGGTGTCAGCAGTGTTGCGCGCCATGTTGTACAGTGCGCACCCCCCTTCGGACTCCAGGTGCAGCCCCGATCAAGAGAACATGCCGTTGGCCGTTGATTCCCTGCGCTTCGACACAGCCGATTCGTCACCGGCGTCTTCACCTCTTTCTCTCTTTCCATTTCTGCCCCTAATCATTCTTGTTTCTGCGATTGTGTAGTAGTAGACTAGTAGCAGGGGTCTCTTTTTTTTTCTTTGTTTTTTTTTAGCCTCTGGGCTCTGTATATTTCAGATCAGGTTTCAGTATTGTTTCGAGTCTTCCTGACAGTTTGTTTTTTATTTTTTTTTATTGAGTCTGATAAGACAGAATATATATATATATATATATATATTTTAGTAATAGACTAGTAATAAGAGTAAAGTACAGTCACACACCTGGTTTGGTAAAAAAACAGTCTGAGAAAATTTATTTAATTTTTTTGAATAAAGATACCCTGAAGGTTAAAAATGGACAAAAACACTCTTTTACATAAAAAATTAACCAAATTATCCTTTGACCGTTTAGAAGACTTTTTTAACTTAACAATTTAATAAATTGAACCAATTTACCATCATGAATAATTAATCATAAAAATAAAAAAAAATTATAAAAAACTTTATATTAGCACTTTTTTTTTTTTTTTTGGATAAATGTCCCAACTTCTTAAAAATGTAGACGTTTAAAATGATTTTTTGATTCAATACATATATTTTAAATAAATTATATTTTGTTATTACTTTTTTTAAAAAAATTAAGATGCTTAATTCTTTCATCTAAAAAAAGTAAACCAATCTCTTTTTCTTAAAAATAAAAAATATGGTACCAGTATAACTTTATGTATCTTAAATTATATATCAAATATTATACATTTCCCAACATAAAAGAAAATAGGTACCGGTATAACTTTATCCATTTTAACTTTATGCATGCCTTTGTTTTATTATTTTTTTTCCCTTTGTTTTATTATTATTTTTTTTTCCCTTTTATGTTGTGAAATGCATAATATTTATATATAATTTAAGATGCATAAAGTTATACTGGTAACATATTTTTTATTTTTAAAGAAAAGAGATTGGTTTAATTTTTTTTAGATGAAAGAATTAAGCATCTTAATTTAAAAATAAAAAAAAAAGAAAATAAATAATAACAAAATATAATTTATTTGAAATACATGTATTGGATCAAAAAATCATTTTAGACATCTACATTTTTAAAAAGTTGTGACATTTATAAAGTAAATAACAAAAAAAAAAAAAAAAAAAAAAATGTGAACGATATAAAGTTTTTTTTTTTATGCATAAATTGTTCATGAGGGTAGATTGATCCAATTTATTAAATTGTAAAGTTAAAAAAGTCTCCTAAACTGTCAAAGGGTAATTTGGTCAATTTCTCATGTAAATGGGTTTTTTTGTCCATTTTTAAATCTTCAGGGGGTGTCTTTGTCCAAAAAATAAGTAAGTTTCATCTGAATATCCTTTTGTCAAATCTCAGACGGTGTGACTGTACTTTACCCTTATTTTTTTATAGAGTCTGATAAGACAAAGTATATTATTTTTTCAAATAGAAATTGTTAATTTCTGTTCATAAAATTACTATTTTTGTTTTTTAAACATTAGATATTCTATTTTCTTATTTTAGAAAAACTGGTCACGATTAAAAAAAAAAAAAAAAAAAACCACATTTGGGAGAGGATGGATAGTGTTGGGGAAGAAATTCACACGGCTCGATACGACACTGTTTTCCTGCAAGGAAGAGAATAGAAGATCGATGAATCTTGACGGTACCGATGTGGTGCCTGCCAAGAGCTCTTCGACGATCAAGTCAGTCACCAGAGGTCTAAAAGAAAGGTAGAGATTTAATAATCGTTTTTTGGTCATCTTATCTTATCCTTGAGAACGAAATATTATCATTCTTATCCAATGAAAATATCACCATTCTTAGTTACCTTTATCGTTAGGTCAAGGTAGGTTAGGTTTATTTTTCCTTATCAGTTGCCCCCCATTCCCAAGCTTACTCGTCTAGCTTTGGGAATGTAAAATTTATTTATTTACCCGCGGGGTTTTTTGTTTGGTACCCTTGGGTACTTTTCCTGTTGGGAAGATTTTTTTTTTTTTTTTTTTCCGCCCTTGGCACTGTTCCTTCTAGAATAGTGCCGCGGGTACTGTTCACTGGACCAGTAATTTTTTTTTTTTTTTTCTCAGGAATAGTGTCGTGGGTACTGTTCACTTGGGTAATGTTCCCTGGGGTACTCTTCCCCTGGGTAATATTTCCTTGAGTACTCTTCTAGGTAATGTTTCCTTGGGTATTCTTTCTTTGGGTAATGTTCCCTTGAGTACTCTTCCCTTGGGTAATCTTCCCTGGGGTACTCTTTCCCTGGGTAATGTTCCCTGGGGTACTCTTCCTCTGGGTAATGTTTCCTTGAGTACTCTTCCCTTGGGTATTATTCCTAATGGTGGAATTAATACAAATACCAAATCAAGGTTCTGTTTTGAAAGTGTATGGATTCAAACTCATGATCAATGACTCTTAGTGACGTAAAACTGGATTTTTCTTTTGAAAATCCAATATATTATTTGTAAACTTTATTGGTTTCAGTCAGCCCATCCCTTTGGCAAGGAAATAAATTTTACGAGTTGCACTCATCTCGTCGCCTCTTTAATAAGGGAATGAGTTTCACTCAACTCGTCCCTTTAGTAAGAGAACTAATTTTTATGAGCTTCACTCAGCTCGTCCCTTTAGTAAGAAAATTAATTTTTACGAGTTTCACTTAGCTCGTCCCTTTAGTAAGGGAATTAGGTTTTAAGAGCTTCACTCAGTTCGTCCCTTTAGTAAGGGAATTATGTTTTACGAGGTTCACTCAGCTCGTCCCTTTAGTAAGAGAATTAGGTTTTAAGAGCTTCACTCAGCTCGTCCTTTTAGTAAGAGAATTAAGTTTTAAGAGCTTCACTCAGCTCGTCCCTTTAGTAAGGGAATTAGGTTTTAAGAGTTTCACTCAGCTCGTCCCTTTAATAAGGGAATTGTTTTCACGAGCTTTACTCACTTAATCCCTTTAGTAAAGGAGCTTGGTTTTTTGTTAGCTTTCTATAAAGCATTAATTACCACATAGGTAGGTAATTGAAAATGTAATATTTTATTGCGTAAAAAATGAGGGTCATCCATCTCATTGGTGATGGTGGCTTTATTGGAAAACAAAATAACACGTGAGGGAGGTACCCCTCATTTAAAATGATTAACTGAGATGCCCCCAGTCTTTATTTTGAATGACTTGATAAAGCTAATTTTAGCTGTGAGACAATTTTTAGTCGGTATACTTATCTGAGTCATTCTCACGATATGTCCTATCGCATTAGCTGAAGAATGATCTCTTATATTTGGTATCATTTTCATTCCTGGTGAGAGGGGCTGACCTCTTCTTGTCCTTTCCTTTCTTTCCCTTCCGTGCATTCATGGCGTCTTCAACGTTCATGTGTTTCTGCACTCTGATCAACAACTCTGCCATGCTGGTGGAAGGTTCTTTTGATAAGGAGAACAAGAATCTGGAGGTTTGGAGTCCTCCTATGAAAACGGTCAAAGCCACCTTGTCGTCCACCTCTTCTACCTGCAACATCTCTATGTTGAATCGAGTGATGTATTCCCGGATCGACTCTCCCTTCTGTTGTTTCACAGTAAGCAAGTAAGTGACCGGCCTCCTATGCCTTTGACCTGCAATGAAGTGGCTCACAAACTGCTTACTCAGTTCTTCGAAGGTGTCGATGGTTCTTGGCTTCAGCTTGTTGAACAAAACTCTTGCCGGTCCCTTAAGTGTAGTGGGAAAAGCTCGGCACATGATTTCATCTGGCACGGCGTGTAAATGCATAAGAATTAGAAAGGTCTCTAGGTAATCGAGGGGATCTTTGGTCCCATCAAAGCTTTCGAACAAGGGCATCCTGAACTTGCTAGGCAGAGGGCATTTCATAACGACAGGGCTGAACGGCAAGTTGGTCCTATGTACCATGTCATTTATGGCGGCACGACCTTTCCTTTTCATAGCCTGCTTACATCTTCCATTTTCGCCTTAAGATCCGAAATAGGTAATTTTCTCTGTCTTTTCCTCAACACAGAAGGTTATGCCAATTTAAGGCTGGGGATTTCGCGGAGGTGGAGGAGGAGGATCTCTGTGTCAGTTCCCGACTTGGCTTTATTCTGCCTCGAACTTGTGAGGAGGATCGTTTTCTCGGTCCTCCTCGTTTTTTCCCCATCATTCAGATTGGAAGGATATGGGTCGGACAATTCTTGTCGAGGTGGTGGTCCAGCTGGGATAAGATGTTGCAGGATCACTACATTTTGCTGGATCAACTGGTCCGTACTTTGATTCAGAGTTTAGACCTGTAGTTTTAACGCTGCAAGCCGTTCCTAGTCATTCGGGACGTATGGGTGTTCACCCGACCCTTCTCTTTGACTGGATCCCTGCAACAATGTTTCTTTTCTAGTAACCATACCGTATCGCAAATCCATATACCCAACTGAGTAATTTATTGATTTAAGGGAATCGTCGTTTCCCACATACGGCGCCAACTGTTGGGGAAGAAATTCATGCGGCCCGATACGACACTGTTTTCCTGCAAAGAAGAGAGTAGAAGATCGATGAATCTTGACGGTACCGATGTGGTGCCTGCCAAGAGCTCTCCGACTATCAAGTCAGTCACCGGGGGTCTAAAAGAAAGGCAAAGATTTAATAATCATTTTTTTGTCATCTTATCTTATCCTTGAGAACAAAATATTATCATTCTTATCCAATGGAAATATTATCGTTCGAAAGTCGAAGAGGTCTGGCGGCTGGTCAACACTTAGTTACCTTTATTGTTAGGTTAAGGTAGGTCAGGTTTATTTTTCCCTATCAGATAGCTTTGAGAAAGAACCTATTGATTCTCTCCCATTTGTTTGGACAGTAGGTGTATTGATTTATTGGGCGTACTGTTTATTAATTAAGACTCCCAATTTGTATTTAAGCATAGCATATTAAAAAGTTCTTTGGATTGTGAATATTAAATAATTAGATTTTTTTTTTCAAAACTTGTAAATCAGGAGTTAATAAAAAAAATAATAATAATGACTGCTAACATTAATATGATTTGATATTAGCCAGGGTTGCTATACAAGAATGTTACAGCTTTCAATTTAGCTCTCTTAGGCCCGTTTAACATGCATTTTGTTTCTGTTATTTTTGTTTTTGGACTGTTACAGTATCAATTTTGGCAACAAAAACATGTTTGGTGCGACCTTATTTTATTTTACACAATGCTAAAAC